TCTTGTTGAAAACTCAAGGTCTTTTTTTCTTCAAAGTCATCAATCATGCAAAGGGCTGTACTTGTACAAATATCTATCATGTTCCAATCAAAACAAAACTATGCATATCCAGACTAGGTTACAAAAGAAGTGAGAAAACAATATTTCTACCTATCACATAACACAATGAGAGCATTTATGGGGTTCAAACCTGTGCAAGAAATTTGCAAGACCGACGTGCAAGATCTGTGCAGGAAATCTTGCACGGATCTTGCTTAATTAATTTTTTCACAACCCCGCTTGAAAAAACTTCACAAGCTGAATCATTTGGCCTCAAAGCGGGGAACCTTAGGTTAACATACATAAGTCTTAAGTCTGCAAGTTCCGTGCAAGTTCTATGCAAGATGTTAAAAAAACTTGCACAGAACTCTCACGAAAATTGCAAATTTCTTGCACAGGTTTGAACGCCATAATTATACAAAAAAGGATCGGCCAATACAAGACTTCTAGAAACTAGCCATGTTGGTCAGAAAAGGGACAGTACAAGGAGATTGCATCTCTGGGCCATCATCCTCTTGTAATAACCTATCCTCAACAGATCCCATATCATGCGCCTCTGGCATTCCTGAAAAACTGGTTAGGGGGCTTAAACATGACGTTCAACACCATCTTCTTCAGATGTAACCCCTTCCTTTCGTGTTTCAATCTCATTGGGAATTCGATGTGAACTTATTTGAGCGAGTACTGAAATCTGAAAAATTCTCTCAAAACTCTCATTAGATATCACATCAACTTCAAAGTAACAACCATTCTTCTAGATCACCCACCAAGCCTAATACTATCCAAACTAAATTACCACCAAGTATTCCACTTGAAATACTTATGGCAAATAATGAAGTACCTAACATAGGACTAATGGCTTGTGCAAGAGCTCGACACGTCTATCAAAAGACCGTATGATCAACTCCCAAGCGAACTGCAATCTCATGTCTTGAATAATTGAGAGGTGCAAGAGCTCAAGGATAAGAAAGTCATACCTGCATTATCCCATTCAACGTTCCCAAAGATGATGAGCTGGGTGAAAGCATGTTGACAAGCATCATTGGGCACACTAAGATAATCAGATCATCAGCTGCTAGCCGGAAGAGGTTTGATGCACTCAATGTGAATCTCATACGGACCAAAGCACATCACACCTGGACTTCTCATGATCATGATGACTGACATCTACGCCAATGACATGGTGGCAGTGTTGCCTTTGACTTGAGAGATGATGTCATCGTATCAACATCATTTGTAAAGACAACCTCAGAAGAAAAACTGTACTGACTGTGGACTAAGTAGCTGACAATGGGTAGACAAAGGTGTGTGATGGTAAAGGTCGGAACCGACCACTTGTAAAGATTAACCGCTCCAAATCGTCTTTGAAGAGGTGGAAAACGGAAGAGCTGAACAAAGATTAGTCCTACTCCATTCACACTGAGAATGAATCCTATATACAGACACCAATTAATTGATCAGTGATATGATTTTGATGAAGTAGCACACAGAAGAATAGAAGACCTCACCAATCTGGTCAAGCGACATCCCCAGCCCGCCGTTTACCACCTCTGAAGAGATTCAAGAGATTCGCGGGTGATGTCAATTGTACAAGTTCTGCGCTCTTTCAAACAATCGAGAAGAGTAAATGCTCAACTAAACTTGTGTATGCATAAAGTGGAATCACGGCCACCAAGGCACCATTGTAGATGTGAATCATTGTGAACGTCAACATCAGAGTCATGATCGGTACGGTACATAATGACGCGGGTGTGATACGATTGGCCGAGAGGCAGAATCAGCAGTTGACAAGGCTTCGTAACCTTGTGATGGTGTCGGTCTTTGCGTCCCATGTCGTGGCTGCG